TATTGAAATCGAGGACCAATTCCAAGGCCAAGAATTTGAAATAAAACCGAAGAAATGTGCGTCTAGGAAGAAGAAAAATAAAACTACTTTAAATATTAAGAAAGAAAGAGTTTCAGAAGCTAGAGAGTTGAAAGAAAATGTCGATGTAATTAATATTTTAGACGAAACTGAGGCTAAATCTGAGAAATCTATAGCGACCATAGGTATAACCGGACATGGAGAGTTTGACGAAGAACCACCAAGTCCTAAACTTATAAACGAGAGATTAGAACCACGGAATTTAGAAGTTGAAGACTTAGATACTTCCATGAAAGATTACTTCGAGAAACTTACTAAAGAAATGAATGAATCTAACAATAGAATATCTAACAGCTCTAATGAAGACAATATCAAAATTAGTGTAAAATCTAACAGTAGTGGTAGTGTTAAGTCTAAATCTCTTGTAGTATCTATAAAGAGAATGTCATCCGAGGATATCAGTAGATGGTTGCCTTCAAGACGCAACTCTGATTCAGACGACTCTTATAGTGGTAAATCTGTCAAAAAGAATAATGAAGAAACAGCTGTAGCGATTATTGGAAGTGAAGGAAAAGATAATGATATTAATGAGGTTACTGAAGTTAATACAAAGAGACAATCAATGAGACTGATTTTCAAAAACTCGCAGCCTGTTAAAATTAACGACAGCGCGGAAATAAAGGATGATTCTGATTCGGACAGCTACCACAATACTCCAAAACGCAATAGTAAACTTAGAGCCAAATCGAAAGTTCGAGAAACCACAAAGAAACTTGAAACTATAGATGAGCCCGTTACGAAAGTTAAAACAAAACACACCTCATTAATATCCCCAATAAAACTCTTCGATGAATTAATAAGCAACGCTGACAAACAATCAGAAGTCACTCTCTCAGATGATGAACAATATATGAAAGATATAATAAATACTTTAGCCGAGAAAAAGAAAACCAATCTTACTAAACCTCAAGTCTTAAAGGCTAAATCAATAAGTACAGTTTCAAGTCAGTCTAAGATAAGTACGTCTACTAAAATAGAAGATTCTAGAAAGAGGAGGGTGGAGGAAGAAAGGGAGGATTTGATAAAGAAGAGAAAGGTTGAGGTGAATAATAATGTAGAATGCGTTTCGAGTGGTCTGACTGTGTCTAGTGTTGACGAGTGGTTCAAGAGGATCGAACCGGAGGGCAGCAGAGGTGAGCATTTTTTACTTAATTATGTTTATAAGGGAGGGGTGAAAGAAATTAGTTGCTATTGTACCTTATCTATGTTTTAATTAATTTACTCAGTATTTTTTACCAGTTTTGTTATGAGTCCTCTGTGTAATACATACAGTTTACTTTCTAGCGACTTAGAACCATAGGTACTCTGTTTAGACGACAAAACTCCGTTCTGTGATTCACGTTTCTAACTGAATTCCCTCCTGTTACGTTGACTATTTTACTTTGATATCTACATTTAAAAGCAGGTGCGTTAGCGTACCAGGTTATTATAGTGTTAATTTATATAAATATGGACCTATTTTCAGCTGAAATGATAAGTTCGTCGATGAGACATAGCTTGCAGGGCGTGCTAGAGAGATTGGATACTACACTCGTTGAGATCCATCGGAACACAAGCAAGAAGTACGTATAATTATTAATTTTATAAGTCACTGTTATAAAGCTGTTTGTATTTCGTTCGTGAGACATAATAAATTATATTAAATTAATTATTATGTTTTCGGCTTTGATGTTCGACGAGGAATTCGACTAGTTTCAAACCATTCTAGAGGCTCATGTTCATAAGCAACATTCGTATCACATATCTAAAATTCATTTAACTACGTGTTGTACAATAAAAGATGGTCTTTACTTTTGACAACAGAAAAGCTATCAGAAATATATTTTGTTTACAGATTCGTGAACCTATTCGTGAACGCTCAGAAGCAGTTGCTTGCCCTGAAGGAGCGCCGGCAAAGGATGTACAAACAAGTGGCGTCCGATATACTCAGCGAAGTCGTTAAGATTATGGATCAGAAGTTTGCTGATCTAGATGAAAGGTCAGACTTAAATATTTGAAGTTAAATAGCCTCTTTCAGCTGAGAAGATGCCAGTTCTTGAGTAATATGTGACTGCTATGAATGTAGTGTCAAGGCCAGAAAGACCTTTCTGTTATAATGAATTCGTAACATACAATAATTAGAAAATCTATAGTCTTTTTTACATGAAATTCTATATTTACAATTTGCAGTTGGGACCTACTTTTGACTTTCTTTTATGCAACATTGACAGACAGACGTGACACACTGAGTATGGCCAGTCCCAGTCCAATGGTGTTCAGTGTTCTAATCACCCTTGACTTAGCAGGTTTCCCTCTTCTCCCCAGATCGCAAGAATTAGACGGCACTTTCATGAAACAGCTCAAGGAGCAGGCCTCAGAGCTGATTCGAGAAGATTGCAAACAGAAGCGAGTGATGGTTCGTCTGCTGAAGGAAGATGTTCAGGCAGTCGTTGACCACTTGGAGAGGCAGGCTCTCTGACTTCAGGAACAGGTGAGATAATACCTATTACCTATATGATACTTTGGTCGGTAAAGTTTGTTTGTAGCTATTTTTGACATAATTGACATAATGGGTTATATTGATAATATGGTCGACGTCCCGCACCTGCAATATTGTTATTGAGTCACACAACAGATACGCGATGAATAATATCTACAACACATAGATACATTGATTAGATAGATATTTACCTTCCTACATAATACTTTCTGAGAATGCGAAACTGCTTTACTCAGGTTTCAGCGGAATCTGATAACGGTATTTTGTCTTTCTTTGTTATATAATGTATATGTGTCACGCTGTATCCAAATGTTTGATAATTTTCAGTCAAAATCAACTAAAATGTTTTGCAATCTGTAGTCAACATTTACAGCTGTGTGTCACTAACTAAATTATTTGAAGTCATCGTAATATTCGATAATTGAAATGCGCTTACGTAGAATGTTGAGTGTCATTTCGATGCAGAGAATGACTCATAGTTTTTTGTTAAAATAACTCCTTTTCTAGTAACATATGAAGGAATGCCATTACTCAGGCAGGACCTCTAGTTAAATGAATAGGTATTAGAGAATTTACAGCTGGTTTCGTCATAGTCATATTATCCCTGACTGACTGCACGGTTGGTGCGGTGGCTGGGCAACCGGCTGCTATGCAGCGTGCCGTGAGTTCGATTCCCGCACGCAACAACACTTGTGTGATCCACAAATTATTGTGTCATGTGTATGTGAATTTGTATGTTTATAAACACACCCACGACACAGGAGAAAATCCTAGTGTGGCGCAAGGTTTTGGTATTAGGGCATGCACAGTAGGACTAACAGAGGACAACAGCTGATTCTCCCCAGTAGATACAGTACAGTTGTGTGTGTCAGTAAATCTATATAAATCGAACATCTATAATGAATGTCTTCTGTTTTTGTTTTCAGAAAAAGAAGTTAGTATGCCAAACTAGATGAAAAGTGGTCGGTCCATAATAATATTTGAACATTATACAAGTTGTATAATTTACTTCATTGTAAATGTATAATTATATTTTTGTAAGAATTGCCATTAAAACAATGATCTCAATAATTTTATACGCTACCAATTAATATTTATACGTAATTTCGTAAATGGAGGATTGTTCAAAATAACGAATCTCCGATACAATTGGGTAGTTTTCAAAGCATCACAATTAAAAATCTAATTAGTCCGTCAGTTAGATAATGAAAAAATATTACACACGTATTTTTTTATTTTCTCGTATTAAGTTGCAATACTTAGATAAATGGCGCTAAGTTTAGGAGTGGGAGGATGTTACGTCATGAAGTGCTACAAAATGTGGCACGTTGTGACGTCACACGATATTTCAATTTAATTTAACGTTGCAAGTATTTAATTTTGTGAGCAAAGAAAAAATACGTGTCTAAAGTTTTAAATTAATCTACCAGATGGACATTAATATAAAATTTAGGTAACTACCCCCCTATTGAAATTGGTTTATTTCACCATATTGCATGAAACTGTTGATATGTGGAAATGTCTAACTACTGTTATTTATTTTTATTTTCCCCTCTCTTAACAGCATATGTTAATAATTGTTAATTCTAATTTGTTAATTTTATCAAAATGTTTAATAATTTGTTAATGTGTTATAGTAACACCAATGTGATTGTTAAATTCGTTTTTTTTATTTATATTTAAGCAATTCATATCAATAAGGTATGCAGTTTTCAGTTGAAATGTTTTTAAATAAATAATAATACTATTTTAATTTTGCATGTTTTATTAAATATTAACTTAATTATACTAAATAACAACCAAAATTATCACTTAATTTAAAATATTAGGTTTTAGTCGATTCAAAATAGTGATAGGTAATAGTGAATAAGTCGGTATGTCCTTATAGGATATGCAATATATGTATAAGTACCTAGATAACTGAGATTTCAATAAATGATGGCTAGCATATTATTTTTGTTGTTATACAAGATGTTATGTTATATAATCATGGAATAATATGTTCCTAATGCAAGAATGACAAAATGTAGTGCTTAGGTTGGTATTAGTCTTCCCACATAAATCGGTATGCAAGAATGGGACTTCATAAAGCTCACAAGGACTTAGGAGTTGACATTTAAATTAACTCGTCGAGTACCGTCATTATAGACACAATTATAGAACAATAGGTTGCGGTCACCGGTGACCGCTTGGTGTTTGACAGTTTCAATAAGAAGTGTAAAAAATAGTGTCCTTTCGAAATTGAAAAACCTATCATCTTTTTCCTAGACATTTAAATGTACTTATTTTCTAAACACTAGGTATAATTTGGGTAGAAGAATAAAAATAGTCAAATTAAGTGTATCGAGTCTTGCCTAAGGCATAAGGAATAAAATAGTATAATATTCAATGTCATAAAATATTCAGTTACTGTTTATATTATTAATTATTAAAAACTACTAGAGATGTCATTATTTATTTCATTATAACTATAGAAGATTAATAATATATTTAAGATATTGTAAAATGTATATTGTATTCTTAGGTACCTTTATTTATTCTAGTTTATTAGTTACTGTTAAACAAGTTAGAAAAAATCTTATAAGTAGGTATGTATTGATTTCTTTGACTTATATTATTGTAATTCCTTTTTTGCCACCATTAGAAGACATCTTATTATTATTAACAGACTAAAAAAGAGGTTTGTAGATATTTACGTCTTTTCGTTAAATATTTTCTATATAAATATTGCATATGACCTTTATAAGTGTTTAAGTATTGTATTATACATATTAAAAGTCGAATAAAATAAAAATAATTGTAAGCAGTGATATATATATATTGTAGGGTCGTATTTTCCCTAAGGCAAACGAGGCAAGTGCCTAGGCGCCAGGTTACAGAGGGAAGCCATAAGACGCGCGTGCCCAACTGCCAATAGTGACGGCGGCGCCAAAAAGGAAGAAGACGCCTATGTATGAGGTGCTTGCCTAGGACTCTGTCTAGATTTAATTCGCCTCTACATACTGTACTAAAAACATTAAACAGCATATTTATATGGAACGTTGATGAATCATTACTGTTGCTGTTTGCACTCACAACGATTACTTACATTATCAATTAATTAAATTACATACTTATAAATAGCAATCTAATTATGACTGATAATATTTATGTACTCACTATTTTTGATATATTTTAAGTCATATCTTATTTGGTAGATACGTCTATAGTGAGCTATGAAGTTGGCAATTAGTAGTTATAAACCCAGTAATCTGATAATAGCGCTTTTGACTGTTTTCGGCCTGGGGACTTGAGCGCAGTCTAATCCTATCCAACATTGAAGGTTTAAATTATTCTTAACTTTTGAATAAACCAAAATTAACTTTATAATACTTCACAGCAGCTTCTTATGTAGATTAAATAGATGAAACTATATTATATACCTTCATTGATTTTTGAATTTAGAACATTACAGGCAAAGAGGTTGTATTTATTAACAGTTTCTTTATAGTTATAGTAATAAAAAATAAAGTTTGTGCTTGATAGGCAAAGAAAGAATAAATAAATAAATATCTTCATGAACTTTTCAGATTAAGGGTCTTTACAAATACATGCAAATGAGTCTCATTTAGGTAAAATAACTAGTTAACACAGGTTTTCTTCATAGACGCTTATGAATTACGGAATTTACTTGCAAACAAACCAGTATCCTCATAGTTTCTGCACAAATCACTAGAGAGTTGAAACACTAATCATTATGCACTATCACTATCACTTAATCATCGGAGTCCGAGTCCACTTCGCACTGAGTGCTGGTGTCCAGGTACTAGGAGTCGTCCTGCGAGGTCGCCACTTGAGCAAGGAATACCTGTTGTTGGGGCTGGCCTTGGGATGATACCTGTGTGGATTGAGAAAGGATCTTAATTTAGCGTATCGCTGCGTTTTTTCATCGCTTAAGGGATTAACAGAGGTGCAAATTGTACCTATATAATTTAACGACTTTTTACTTGAGTTTGTCACTGCTACTCTTACCAAGGGTGGCTTGAGATGACAAAAGGACTACATATTAAACAGAGATGGGACAGCAGCGTTCTCTAATAAACTAGAGGCCATAGTAGGACTTTCGATTACTTTAAATCGTAAAACAAACTCATACTAAGCTTTCCGAGTCATTTTTGTTTTGTGGAATAAGCCAGTAACCGAGCAGACGGATCACCTGATGGTAAGTAATCGGCGTCGCCCATGAAAACCCAGAACACTAGAGGCGTTAGTAGTGCGTTACCGGCCTTTTGAGGATTAGGAATTGGAGGATTGTTGGGGATTCAGGTATTGGGAAGATTGGGGATGGGGGTAATTGGGTCTCCGGTAACCTCACTCACACGAAGAATCACAACGCCAGCGTTGTTTCACGTCGGATTCTTTTGAACTGTGATCTCTAACCCTATTGCCAACTATGGAAATGGCAAACTTCCTAATTTTGTTTACCTACAGAAGGTCAAAAGTCCAATGTAATATAATGGTTATTATATTTTAGTTCATCAGTTTAGTAGGTACCTACCTGAATAATCTGTGGCGATTGCTGCGACTGTGCCTGTATTATGATCGGCTGGTTCGGGTTGTTCTGTACCTGCAGGCGGATCATGTTTAACTGCGCTTGTGTTAGCTGGATCTGGAATAGGTAATAAATGATATTTTGCACTTATTCAATTTCAACAGATATTTTTACATGGCTTATATACATTTTTAGTGTGGGACAAAGTAGGTATTTAGTATTCTAATTCTAGAAAATTCTCAGTAGATAACAGCATGGAGTAGTGTGGCGTTATGCTCATCAGGAAGGGCAAATTAGTATTGTGTAACTGACTTACTGGCAACTGCTGGAGCTCTCCGGATGGAGTAAGGACCTGTTGTACTAGTGTGACTGGTTGCTGCGACACCGCCACGTTACTTGATGACGTCGACGGTGTGGCTGTAGATGTCTGTAACATAATATTAAATTGTTTATATTTGAACTGAGTTAACCTCTTTTTTGTATTAGTAGGTACTAGCTACTGCCAGCGACTTCGCCTGTGTTCTCGTGGGATATTCGAGACCCATAATCTAGCCTTGTTCCAATTTCATCCCGATCCCTTCAGCCGTGATTGAATACAAACCTCACACAAACTCAAACTTTTTTTCACGTATAACTTTAATTATAATATTAGTAAGATTTAGAACGTAAACAATGACTGGAATTCGTATTTTACAGCCTACTCTCGTAATTGTTTGATGAGCTTACTCGATTACATTCAATTTCAACGTTGGCTGCGCGACGCTATTCATGACTATGAGCTCCTAATATCGTTTGAAAATAGTCGAATGACCTCAAATTATTAAAATATAAATTAACTCGTCGAGTACCGGTTTTGTAGACACAATTATAGAACAATAGGTTGCGGTCACCGGTGACCGCTTGGTGTTTGACAGTTTAAATAAATTTGTTTACCTGTGTCACTTGTGCACATGGCTGTAATACGATCTGTGGCTGTGCAGCGTTCTGTAATGCAGCTTGATGGTGAGCCACCTGAAAATATGGACACAGATATTTACTTAAATAGAAGTTTATTTTGACTTCTTCGTTGGTGGTCACAAGCTACGGCTGCGACTGCCGAGGTAATGCGTTACAGGTAGGTAAGATTTTTCGGTCGGACAAAGTGTTATTGGGGGTTTTGTCGGCTTTTCGTAACTCAGCAATAGCATGAAGTCTTTTTTTTTTTGAGGGGCGAAAATCATCCAATGACTTCTCCCGCCCGGGTGAGGCGGGAGGGAATGTCAGACGCTTACTGACTAAAAACCACCCCGTTCCTACTCCTGCACTTCGAGCCGGAGCCCCGGTTACCCGTTAAGTCTTCCGAGGCTCCGTATCGGCATTAGCCCTGTTGGGCTCCATCCGTAGTGGTCTGATGGCTAATAGCATGAAGTCTGGAATGATGATTAATGTATAGAGATAAGTTACGGTGTCTACCAAGAGGACCCGGTGCCTCCTTCAAGTGCGGATGGTGGCCACCGGGGAGGTATTAGTGAGGTAAAAATACCACACTCCCTAGTCCATTTCCCCAAAAAGCTAGGCGCCTTTGGAAGGTTTCCCCCGTCAACAAAAAAAAAAGGCAGCGTAGAATGTCAGCCCGCGAGGTGGACAGATGACCCGATTAAGGTCGCAGAGAGCCGCTGGATGCAGGTCGCTTCCAACCGGCCTATCTGGAAGTCATTGGGGGAGGCCTATGTTCAGCAATGGACGTTCTATGATTGATATGATGATGATGGAGATAAGTTACATTTTGACGTTAAAAAATGCGTCTGCTTTGGTCTAAATAACTTAAATAAATGCCGACTACGCAAAAATTTCTCCGACGGTTTACTCTTATCTAGTCTTCGAAAGTTACCTGGTCGATGTGGCTGCTTCGTGGCGCGTGGTCGTATCGAGGTTTGTTGGGTTTGACTTCCTGTCGAGGCACGATGTCGATCAGGAAGTCGAACTGATCGCACTTCGATATCGCCATCGCTATGTCGTTGCGCTGTAATATTGAGAAAATGATTAAGTTCTTTTCCTAAAAAACGTGGTGTAAAGATTTTCTTCAGTGTTGTGAGTACATTTACAATTACTTTCATATAATTTAAATCGCACTCAGACTTATAGCATAAGCTGGTAATCGAGCCGACGGATCACCTGATGGTAAGCAATCGGCGTCGCCCATGGACACCTGGAACACCAGAGGCGTTACTGGCCTTATGAGGATTAGGAGGATCGTTGGGGATTCAGGAATTGGGGAGATTGGGGAAGGGGAGGGTAATTGGGCCTCCGGTAACCTCACTCACACGACGAAACACAACGCAAGCGTTGTTGCTTTGTGTTGACTGCCTCGTTGTCCGAGTGGTCGCAAGTACGACTGCCAGGCAAGGGGTTCGATCCCCAGTCGGGCAAAGTATTACTGGTTTTTTTTTTTAAATATCAGAAGTAGCACGGAGTCTGGAATTGTCCCCGTTATATGGCAGTAGGCTCACCCCCTATTACATAGGACTCATAACATAAAAGTAAAAAGTAGGTGTTACATTGTACAATAGCACTAAGTGCCGTAATGTGCACCTCGACCTACCCCTTAGGGGGTAATAGACGTGATGTTATGTTGTGTTTTGTGATGTAATTTACCGAATTTATATCTAGTTACCTGCAAAGTTCTTCTTTTATTATCCTCAGTATGTGCCCAAGCCCTAAGCGTTAGCTCATGTATGAAGATTTCAGCCGCCTTCGCGAACAACACGGGGGCCTCAGCTGAAATCATCTTCACTTCTTCATCCAATTTCATTATCTTCTTTATGCGGGCGAGAGGCAATGCTTGGGATTTGAAGTCGTCCTGAAAATAATATCACAAATAATCACTGTCTATGAGCGTTAAGAGTTTTGACCAAAACTTATAATTAGAAACAAATCGAACTGTACATTTTACAGATATCTTCATGATACGCAGCCAGTCAGCGTTCGTATTCCATGCATCGTGACGAGGATTCAATAGGGTAGTTTCCTAAATTTTATTTTAAAGTCCGTCTGGTACATTAATTTAAAACTATAGACACGTATTTTTTCTTTTTCACAGAATTAAATACTTTCGACGATATATTAATTTTAAATATCTTATGACGTCACAGCGTGTCCCATTTTGTAGCACGTTATGACGTAACGACCTCCCACTCTTAAACTTAGTGCCATTTTATCTAAGTATTGCAGTTTAATACGAGAACTAATATTTTTTCATAATCTAACTGACGGAGTAATTAGATTTTTAATTTTTATACCCTGGAAACTACCCAATTAAAATCAACAAATGTTAACTGCTTTTTTGTAAAAAACACCAAACGATTTCATAAAGAGTTGTTTTTTAGAACTGCACGGTTGGTCCGGTGGCTGGGCAACTGGCTTCCGCGCAACGTGTCGCGAGTTCGATTCTCGCACGGAACAACTCTTTGTGTGTTCCGCAGATTGTTGTTCCGGGTCTGGGTGTCATGTGTATGTGAACTTGTATGTTTGTAAACGCACCCACGACACAGGAGTAAATCCTAGTGTGGGGCAAAAGTCGAATTATCGTCAAGTTACGTAACAGCCCATCATCCAACCACTGCGCTAACAGTGCATAATATAATAATACATTCTTTCCGGAATCCGTATGGGAAATAGAAATATCATTAAGTAGGCAGAAGTAAGTTCTGTTCTCTAAATTAAACTTGATACGTACTGCATTAACCTTGCTGATGTCTTCAGTAACTTTACACCAGAACTGCTGCAAGCTCTGCTGTGGGGATTCCACTTGGGAGTTATCTTCTATAATGTCACTGTCCACTTCCTCAGCCACGCCCGATGTACTCGCCTGGTCGCTGTGGGATAGGGAACATTATTACCTAAAGAGACAGGCGGAAGTAGATCTTTTTCACAAGGTAAAAGACTAATTTTATGTCATGTGTTTCGGGGTGCGTTTTGGAAGTACTATGTCGCTTCTATCCGTGGTATCTATACGTGTACGGAGCTAATGGGATATCAGTAAAATTTTGAACTAAAACTACTAAATTCACTAAATTAAGTAAAACCGCGAGTTACTCACGTGAATATACTGAGAAAAGCTCTACTAGTTTCGAACCACAGAGGGATTCTTCCTCATGAGCAGCGTGCGCGATCGCGGCGACGTCGCGCTCACATCGACATTTTACTTAATTTAGTATGTCTCACGATAGTTATTATAAAAACATACTAAATTCACAATCAGAAAGAGCCCATGCCGAACATAAAATGCGCAGTTTATGTAGCTAAACAAATAGCTCAATTAATTGCATTTGAATGCCATATGCCTGGGCATCGTTTCAGTTCCAGTTTTTAATGTGAATTAAATTTTGTGGATGTGCTATTATTTACCTAGTTACCTACGCAAATAACACGAGAAAGGAGGTTGCTTATTCTGTATCCCCCTACGTATAAGCCTCCGGGTGAAAACCACTGATATGATAAGAGTATGGATAAGAAACAACTAGGAAAAAATCGTGCCTACATAAACTTCACTTGGTCACCCGTAATGGCGGATAGAACTAGGGATGTAACTTTTAAAACTGTAGAAATATCGATATTTTAGAATTGGTTTTGATTGACTTAACAATAAAATATCATTATTTTATGATTCATCTGGATTTAATTTTTATGTAGCTGCTAAACATTACCAACATATTAGCGAAATATATTTAGTAGTTGCTGCGTGCACTGTCACTCCAGTCGATCGTGCCTATACATTCACATCATAACTTTCACGATACTTATGTATCGAAATTCATGAAAAGGATTTTCCATCAACTGGTCAATATTTATATACTTAAGGTTAAGTAATTTTTGAGGGTTGAAAAATAAAACTGTATCAAAGTATTCATAAAATCAAGATTTATAATATACAATATCTTCGTATTTTTCGTAGTGTTTCCCTGTAATGTAATCTGCAAAACCATCTTTCGAGAAGACTCCAGAACTGGTTCCAAGTTCATTTTCATGCACATATCTGGCTAGAGGCTGCAACATAAATAGTATAATTTAACTTACTTGATCCAATTGAACATAGATTTTTCTATAGATTCTATAGATACTGTACCTACTTAATGTTTTTTGTATTTTGTCATTATGTCAAATTAATGCACTTTATCATTCAGAATTTAGTATAGTTCTTTGTTCTACTTTTGACGCATTTATTATGTACGATAAAATTATCGATACGGGAACAATCATGTACATCACTATTTTTTAATGAAAATTGTTTTAGACGTATTTCAACTAAAATTAATGAAAATAAGCACTGCATTAGTTAGAAAAGTATTGTATTTAGTCAATTTGCAGCAACCACACTTGAATAGTTTGAAAAACAGAGATATTTTAATGAAAAATAACAGTACTTACCGATGTAATGTTACACCTGCCGGTTTAGTAATATTTTTAGTGCTACATCCAATAACACTGCACCCGGGCATAGTTCTTCTCACTAACCAATAATTTCTTTGTTTACCACGCACAAAAACAACAGGAATTCTACAAATTTTCGTAACAAAATATTGTTGACCAATGCTTTGACAGCTGATGTACCACTGACATGCACTGATAACAGGGACTAAGATGGCCAATTCGGCACAACTAGGTTTTTCTGATGACGTCAAAAAATTATGGCCAGAATGACAATAATGTGTTGTCTCTTTCTGCAAAAGCAAAGAGACATAAGTAAAAAAGAAACAACAGTATGTTTATGAATTTACCGTCAAGATGGATCCTAAATTCTACCCGTAGACAATAGCCAGACATCTATGTTATATTTATAAATCTATGGTGAAAACGGAGATGTTGTTATGGCTATTGCGACATAAAAATAAAAGTAGGTACCTATAGCAACGTACTAAGCCCGCAGGGATAACCATATCCGATTACGGTCGAAATTCAAACCAATCTTAGCCAAAATATCTGGATACCTTTTTTTAATTGCGAGGGAAAATGGCATCTCCCGCCATGGTTGAGGCGAGAGGGAGTGTCAGACTTTCACTGATTAACCACCAAGTTTCCATATCTGCTTTCAGATAGAACCACGGTAGCTAGCAAGATCACGTTCGAAGGAGTATATCGAGATCTAGGCTTTTAAAATTAGTCTGAAATAGCACATAGGCTTTTATCCCGGGTAAACATACGGGTCTCTTGGGTGGTAGTAAATGAGGAAGTCGAGGCACAGACAATTTATTTTTATTACGTAAGTGTCACGACGATACAAGCTGATATGCTTATCAGAATATCATTATAAGTAATTTTTGCTTGATATTAAAATATTGCGCATCACAACATTTGCGTATTTTAAACCTATGTAGGTACCTACTTATGTAATAGGGTAGATGCCTAATTTTTATTTTAATGTCAGTCTGGTACATTATTTTAAATCATTAGACACGTATTTTTTATTTTCTTACAGAAACGAATACTTTCGACGATATATTGATTTGAAATGTCGCGTGACGTCACTTCTATGAACCTACGTTGATTTTTGAGCAGAATAAGTAACTCATTTTGAACATACGATTTTTCCAGTTTTTTTGTATCTTCATAGCTCTGGCGCGTAGGGCTATTTTACTAGAACATTTGAACTGTTAAGACACTATACGAGACTATGGTCGAACAACCAACAAAATGACATCACAATGGAGCTTTTTTACTTTTAAATTAAAGAAGTCATGTTTTTTTAAAATTGAATCTTATAATTTGGACCTGGGAAGGGCCTTCAATAGACGCCATGTTTGAGCACGGCGCATTGCGTATACCTATGATATTTTAAATCTGCGCTATTGTTTATATAAATTTGTGCGGTAATCGGGTCCAATCCAATGACTTATGTCCAGTCTCAATCTGTCAGTAGATTTAGTACCTACTCTTTAGTAGGTAGTTAGAGATAGAATTAAACTCCGCACAAAAAGTGGTTATCGTTAATCGATGTTTTTCCTCGACTGTTCAAGTCAATGCAAGCATAACTTGAAAAATATTTAATATCGCGAGATACCTAAGCGCGGACAAACATACATACATAGACAAACAGGTCACACAGAGGACCTTCATCTTTTATGAAGTTGGTTATACCTAATAGAGCAATTGGGTAGGTACCCAATTTCGCGAAATGTAGGTACTTAAATAATATACCTATAACTAGGTACTGATACAAGCAATGGTTGAGCGGTTAGTATGCTATGCAGTGCTGTCTATGGTAGCGAGTTCATTTCGAGTAGGTACCTATTTCTATTTTTTTATTTCATTCAGCCAAAATGGTTTCTCGAATGATCGATCTGTGTAATACTTACTTAGGTACCTAATCTATTTCATGATTAAGGCGCATTTATAAGTAAAAATATATTACTTAGACATGATGAAGCCGGCCCTAGAAACTAGATTTAATTAGGTAGTTAGATGATGAAATAGGTATATGTTAATTCATGAAATAATACTATGTATCTACAAATTATTAAAAATCAAGTAGACCCACAACGTAATCGTAGGTATACGCCGGTAAAATGATGATAGAACACTTAACAAATTGGGAAATTAATAAAAGCTCACACCAAAATAATTAATCAAAATAATATCAGTGATTAATTATTAATAATATATAATGAATGCAAAAAAATAATATTATCAAAAGAGGAACTTACGCAGGCACAAAGAAACACACGGACATCTTGTATCAAATCCACGACACGGCGACCTCGAGTTTTTCACAATTCAGAAAGACTTTCCAGCTTGATTAATTATTGGAAAATCGCTATTAGAAAATTAGTAACCGCTTCTAAAGTTAATAAAAACACAGTAACCAATAATCAGTGTAATATTTGGAGATCTCCAATCAACAATTACTGAAAATGCGCCCGACTCACGATTCGTCCACTGATGACCAGTCACAAGCTTGACGTTTATTTAGTATTGCCAATTAACACCATTCGTACGATTTCTAAAAACTACCATCAGGCACTTGCTACAAAAAATCAAGTTATTTCGATTTAAATGCAAAATCAAAGCGGTTTTTCATCAAATAACGTAACAAAAAACAAATAATTCGTAGACATTTACATGTTAAGCCAATCTAAAGCTATGGATCCTCACAGTAATCTATAAATGGTAGACAGGTGGTAGATTACGGAATAAATAATTGGTAACCAAACCGGAACCAGTAAAACGTCAGTGGACGTCATCAAAGTAGCGTCTGCTAATAAAATGGCGGCGGCCGAGATTCAGATAGTGAATCCTTCAAATTTATCAAAAATTGAAAGGTATATCGAGTATAATATTTACGAGTGTCTGCTTTATATTTCCATGTACAATATTCAATAGAAATATTACGGTCTCGGTGTGTATAGTGGTATTGTGAAGTGCATGTTTCTAATGTTTGTTTTCACATTGTTACAGTTTTCTCAATGATCCGAGTTACAAAGAGATTATTGAGAACTCTTCAACCTTCAATTCGCGACTATGTGCGGAAAGGAGGATGCGTATGCCATTTATCGACACACAGACTGGTAAGTTATCGATTTCTCTCATTAGTACTGGAAGGCGTCTACGCCCACCGAAATGTATAAATATTTACTTATTAATCGATTGCTCTAAGTGCTATAACTTATTAGGGAGATTTGTATCTTACTATTATTTGTTATTACCGGCCTATTTGTTGATAACAACGTAATTATTGCACTTAGCTTCGGTTCTAAATAGTATCAAAGTTTACCTGTCTCTATCTACTACACTACGTTTCCAACTGGCTATCTCTTTCTAAAAATCGAACCTACCTTCGAGGTCTAATGTAAGTACTAAGTATGGCTAGGTATCCTAGGCGTAACCTGGGCTAGGTTAATTTTCACACAACTTTCAGCATGTAAGCTAGTTTTGTGTTGTAATATTAATCGTAAATGTAGCTTTTAACAGAGTTGAATAATTCTATACAAAGATTTTTGTAGGTCTTAATACTAATAGGAATTCAAGTTAAAACGTAATAACTATGTCCACTACACTCAACTAAGAAAACAGTTGTTTGTAATGAAAAAAAAAACACAGGAGTCTAGAATAGCAGTACACAGGTTCACTATTAAGTGGAACTAATGATGGATGCTTACTTGATATCCATAACTAACATGGAACTTCTTTATCAAAGAAAAAAACATTGCTATAGTTGATAAACACAACACCTTCAGACTGGGACGCTTATTCTAGAATCCCATTTCGATCAGTCAACATTAATATTGTAAAGTTTCATGCTGCTAAGTTGCAACACTAGCACCCATTGCATTAATATTGGGTGGATGTTGATTAAACTAAATGGGTGGCTTTATATTCCATACTATGAAAGCTATTTAACAGCTGGGATTGGGGTTGCATAGTTTTGTCTTTGAATAATTATTGAAATTTTATTAGATTGAAATTACATTGACATTGGGATTGGTTTCAAGAGTAAGCACCCTGGAATAACATTTACAGATGACACTAACAGCTAATGATTTCGTTAGCAGCAGGTAATACTTTTGTTATGGCAGCCACAGGATATCCACTGCTTCACATAAGTGTCACCCAATGATTTCCATATTGCCCAGTTGGAAGCGATGTCCATTCAGTTCATGTTTGCATGAATAAAACTCGTGGCTGTACAAATAGTACAGCCTAGCCTTGCAGTTAAGAGTGAGGATCTATTTGACTGTTGTGCGTCACATCGTCACTATATCAATCTATAAATAAACTTCTAAAATTTTAGAAACTTTTCTAAAACATAATAGGGTTTGAGAGTTGTAGGCAAGCCTAGGTGTAATTTATAAAAGGAGGTTTCTTCTTAGTTGACGGGGATGGTGAGACGACCCGGATGAGTGCGCGCAACATTTCGCCGGGGGCCGTCGTCGTGTGCAGACTGTTACTAAAGATCGATTGCGCTGCTTGCTTAAACAAATCGATCCTTCGCAACATGTTGTAAAGACGCTGGTGCCGCAGTGATGGTTATCGTTTCTATTTTTCAGTGGTTTCTGGCAGAGAAACATAAACGTAAACTGTCTTTTTCAAGACAACTGCTTTCCGGTTACTATCTTGCTGAGAGTCCATAACGTAGGTAATTAGTATTGTAGAAGGTATATGGTTCGGTACTGGTAAGGTATTCCGTGGCATTGGTAAGATATATGGTACTAGTAAGACCTCCTTTGCCAGAAGACAATTTAAAAATATGAGCATTAAATTATACAACGACATCCACAAGAAACTGAATATCGCTGGACTAAGCAGACACAAACTTAAAACCAGCCTGACTAACTGGCTCCAAAATAAAGACTATAAAAAAACGGAAGAATTACTGACATACATCGCATAGAATAACCCTCACATACAAACACACGTCACCATTATCTACATAACACCACACTTCCATACAACACAAACACAAAATCCCACTCATCCCTACACACTTACACCCACACTACAGACACTCACTTATACTCATTATCACTCAACAATCCACGGTCCACATTAGTGATATGTACATGTATATGCATTATTATCTTTTTAATTATTTTTAATTATTTTTTTCTCTTGAATCTCCAGCGACAACGTTCACCCGCATGCATAAATATTAAACAGTAATCATTGAGCCTCATTAAATGACTGAACACTGCCACCCAAAATACAAGCTTTCGCTTAGTTTGGGAGACAGCATCAGTACCTATAGCACATTACATTTTAAACCTGTGTCTAGATATAAGTCACCCAAAGAACTGTATAACTTTTGCGACAATAAAGATTTATT